ATATCCACAAGAGAACAGGTTAGTGTTTTTTTTTCCCAAATAGCCAATGCTCATTTCTAAAAAGCTGCATAAAGGCATGCATTTGTGAATGATTTGCCAGGTGAATGGTAAATTGCCTTCCAAATAAAGTTAATTAGTGCTGGCTTCCTGCTCGTGCTCATGTTGGGGAGTCTCTATAATTTATGTCTGCCTTTGACCTTTTCCGGGCAGAAACTCTCCTATCCCAGGAGATCCTATCCCATTATCTTGCACACTCTCTCCCACTCCTCTTCTCCTCCTTCTTCCTTTATCACTTGCTCTACATTCTTATCATCTTGTAACCAATTCTCCAGCCATCTGCACAAATTCACTGAGACAATAAGGGAAAAAAAAAACCTTCAAAATAGCAAATACCCACCTAAAATATGCTGTGGGAAATAAAACTGTTAGCATCTTTGGAAAATGACCTAAACATACTATTGTGCATGTCTATTTGTCGTTAAATCCCTCCCTACTCATTTGCAGCCTCCAAAGGAACAAAAATAAATTTCCACGATAATATCACAGAAGTCTGCTATGATTTATGTAATAAAAGTGTCCCAGAAAAGCTGCATTTAAATCAAATCCTATTTTAATGCAGTAAGAAAGCGAGCTATTTAAAGAAATAATATGGCAAATTCTTTTATGTGGAGAAATAATTTCATCAAACAAATGATTACCTTTTAATTTTTCATACAGAAAAATTTATCACTTTTGAATATCTGGATCTTTTTATAACTGATCTTCTTAAAGGAAGTAGCACCGATATACCTTAACACTTATTTTACTGAAGATATATTTCTCAGAATTAGAAATTTGAAGAGATAACAAAATAATCTTTTAGAAATTTGACAATCCTTTAAAACTTGCATATTTGCAATACACTATCGTAAAAAATATCTATCTACATAATTTCTTAATCAACCAACTCTATTAATGTCATATTGAAATTCTTACCCCATGCCTGTATATTGCTAACTCAAAACAAGTATGAGTGGGTTACTCTTAAATAATTACAGCATTATATTTCTAATTATGAGAGAACACTCTGTTAACTGCTTTCATAATATTGAGCATAGAAAGCACAATATAACTTACATAATATTGCACAAAAGAATAAACTTTCACAGAGCAGCCCCTTGAACTTCCATACCAAGAAGCTAATTTGTTTCTACATCAAGTATAACATTTGACTTGTGTGAATGAATAAACTTATAAGAACAATCACCACTGACCCCAAAATAACCATAAATAAATTTTAAATTACCTTTTGTAGCTGCTAACTCATTGCCTGGCATGTAATATATAGTCAGTAATTTTTTAAATGGTAGGTTAATAAATAGCTACTTTGTGTGGTTGAGGTTGCTTTACTCACAAATTCCCTTGACACTTTACCCTTTATTACCATGATCTATAGTTTCATGATGATACAGGGCAGGAACCCCTCTCAGGGGCCAGCAGGGCTGGCAGTGGGGGATGGGGAAGAGCATGGAAATAAAGGAAAATCTAGAGTCCCTTCAGGGGAAGTTCAGGGCACATGATTAGCCATAAAAAGTGAATGAACAACCTGATAAAAACAATGGCTCTCTAAGCAAGCCAGATTCAAGAGGTATTTGGGATCCCTATGGAAACTAAAAGGTGGCATCTTAATATATGTTTTTGAGCTGTTATTTAGGAACCCCCACCAAAGCAAACTGCAGATAAGGGGGGAACTGAGGAATTGACCTTGGACTGCCAATCTTTGTTCTTAATGTCCCCAAGGGGCCTCTCATACCTATCTTACCATTCCTTTCCACTAATCCATAATCTGTGAATCCACCTATGCTCCCTTCTCAGGACATTCAATCTTTTGGGGCTAGGCCAATGTATAACCTCCATGTAATAATCTGTAATTTTGCCTGCCTGAAATGTACCCCTGCTTTTAAAAACCCTGCCTTGGAAGCCACTGGGGAGTCTAGGACTTAAGCATTAGCTGCCTGTACTCCTTGCTTGACACTATAAAATAAAGCCTTTCTCCCACGGCAACTCTCGGCTTCAATGTTTGGCTTTATTACACAGCATGAGTGGAACCCAGCTTGGTTCAGTAACAATGACAGTTCTTAGGAATTTAAGGGAAACAATTTAGGGACGATGAAAATCAGTTGTGTGTTATGTGTGTGTAAACTGATATGCTCAAAAAGGAATGAAGCATATGACTTTGACTGGTTTAACACCATTCTCTCCTCTAATGTTTCTTAGAAGGTATACAACAGAATTACTGGGATAAAAAGTCAAATTCCTAGTTTTACTGATGTACTAAATCAGAATCTGAAGGAGAGACCTGGGAATCTCTATTTAAAGATCATCATCTTTATCCTATGTGAGTCCCTCCACATGATTCTGAGGCACATTAAATTTTGTGAATCTTTGCAAGGTATTCAGATGAAATTTTAAATCCATAGTTTATACTAAAAGTTTGGAACAAGTAAATTAACATCTTATAAAATACAAAAAATAAGTGGCTCTAGCTATGCTTTTCCAGCATCTAAAATGAAACTAGATTGGGCACAGTAGCTCACGCCTGTAATCCTAGCATTCTCGGAGGCCGAGGCAGGAGGATCACTTGAGGTCAGGAGTTTGAGACCAGCCTGATAAAGAGTAAAATCCCATCTCTACTGAAAATAGAAAGAAATTTGCTGGACAACTAAAAACATACAGGAAAATTAGCCAGGCATGGCGGCACGTGCCTGCAGTCCCGGCTACTTGGGAGGCTGAGGCAGAAGGATTGCTTAAGCCCAGAAGGTTGGCGTTGCTATGAGCTAGGCTGACATCACGGCACTGTAGCCCAGGCAACAGAGCAAGACTCTGTCTCCAAAAAAATAAAATAAAATAAAAATAAAATGAAACTAAAGAAGCAAGTATGTTATCACTATAAACCATTAGATGTGAGTGAAAGGAAGGTTTGATATTTATTAATATTTTATTCTGGTTCAACTTAAAACTCAAGCCAAATACTATAATGTTACAAACTTTAGCAACTGATTCGAAAATGGAAGTGCTCTGCAAGCATCTGTAAGGACTAGTGGTTATGGTCAAAGTGATGCTGCTGCAAGGCTTTGTACATGATCAGTTCACTTAGTAACGATGTATGACTGCCTGTGATTGAATCTTCTACTGTGAATGAGGCAGGGAATTCAAGTTCACATTCAGCAACTCAGAAGCTAATCAAAAGCAGATCTTTGCTATTTGGGATTGGCCCAATATGGTGGTTATTTTGAAAGCTCATGGGGGAATGAACATGCAATTCTAATCAAAAGAATTGTTTAAAACATTCACTAAAGGTACTCTACAAAGTCAAACTAAGAAGTGAAACTGTAATTTATTAGTATAGAGAGTAAACTAATATATATAAGTTTACTAAAAAGATATATATTTTTATTCCCTGTGTTAACATTCAAAATTTTGGAAAAAACAAAAATAAGCAATTAAATTTGAAGAATCAAAAACATATTAAATATATGGGTTATAGGAATGAACCTAACTCAGTAAGTATCAATATCAGTTGATTGATTTTAATACTACTCCAAAAAGGTCAGCCAGACATAAACAAAAAAGGTATTCCTAACATTAGCAAGAATATGTTATAATTAGCCAACTGGCTGATGTAAGCATGAGATGCTTAAATAGGTAATGCCCAAGCACATTACTCATAAGTCAATTAATGCAATCAATACTGCAATTGTCTGGATAATTTCAAAGTTTATGATGACTCAGATATTATCCACAACACAAATTTGTGTGTATACACATTCAAACACACACACACATATCGTTTTTACTGTATATATTTAAGGTATACAATGTGATGTTTGAAAATATATATATATAACAGAATTATTACTATATTCAAGCAAATTAACATATCCATCTCTTTATATAATTATTATTTATTTTTTGTGGTAAGAACACAGAAAATCAACTCTCTTAGCAAACGTCAGCATACACTATAATATTATTAACTGTAGTCAATCATGCTATACATTAAATTACTAGACTTATTCATCCTACATAACTGCTACTTTGTACATACCATTTTTTAAGGAATCTGTAACTGGTTGTGAGTGTGCACCTTTTGATCTATATATACTTATTTCCCATGCTACCCCATAACCACTGTTTTACTCTGCTGCTATATATTCAACTTTTTTTTGGATTCCACATATAAGTAAGATTAAACTACGCTTAAGATATATATAACAATAGGAAAATTAGTCAAGATTTGTTCACGAGCAATACCAGGTACCCTTTTTGTCAGTTTCTTAGGATCCATCATATCCATTGGGAGGGATAACTTTATGGTATTAGATTATGTCCTATATCTCTGAAAATTACTTCTTAAAACTCTCCACCTAAGAATATTCTGAGTTTCTCTCTTCCACTCCTACAAGTAGAGTTACAAGTTTACATTTTGCCAGTACTTCAGATTTAAAACACACAAATCCATGTTCTTTTCGAGTTGCTTTATCTAACAATCACTAGAAGCTCACAATAGTATCCCTGACTTATGGGGAATTTTGTATAAAAAATATTTTGGATGCAGTCTAAGAAGATTTCATTCCAACAGTCCAACATAACTTCCTTCTAAAAGCAGCCTTCACCTATGAGGAGATTCCACATTATGGGTTAAGTCAACATTCTAGAGTCCAGGATATATTTTCTGAGATGTTTAGTAAAAATCAGTGATAGATTAAAGTGTTAAGAACCATTCATAAAGGCAGAGAACAGATATGCAGCAATTGGGCCCTTATTCCCTAAATTAATTGTTCATATTCCACATATGGCTTTTATTTAGTACAACTTATTAATAGTGACCTTCCCAACTGTTTAATTTGTAGCCAACTCTAAATCCACAGAATTTTGGGTCTTTGAATGGAACTCTTTCTTCCTAAGCTTAATTATACTTGAAATCTCATTTACCACAATTTGGTAGAAGCAATTCCTACCTGTAACTTTCAATTCAGTTGTTCGTCTTACAAGTTTTCCTTCATATTTGAGTTCACATGTGTAATTTCCTCCATCTTCTTCTTGAACTTCCTGAATAAGAAGAGCATTTCCTTTCTGTATTATTATGCTTCTCCACATTTTTGGCTTGCATTCCTGCAGAGAAAATATGTGCAAGTCAGCAAAAAATAAAACTTCACAAACTATATGTCCGTACTGGCAAGTTAGTACTTTCACTTTTTTCTATTCCTCTCTCTAGTTTTCAAAATACGTAACTAAGAAGTGAAGTCAATGACCAAGCAAAACTATAAATGTATCTTCTTATATCCAGTTAAAATATCACAGCTATCCTACAAATAGCCACTTGAAAACCTGATACCAAGAGCAAGAAATCTATAGAGGCATTCTGTAAAAACAGACGGAATAGCATACAAGCTCCCCAAATGCAAGATAGGTACAGCAGAACCATAGAAGCTGCTAAATATTATTATTACATCCTGGTTTCTTCTCTTTGACAGGGATATTTCCTATGAGTTCTAAGAGGATATGGTTCACTTAGCCACTTAGTATACTCCAGGGAAGTCTTAGGCATTATTAAACATTCATAATAGACTTTTACATTGGCAATGTAGTTTATGATTATTTTATTAATTACTCCTTATTATAAAAATTAATACTATTACTCGAGAGTCTCCTGACTTGTAGTCAAGAGCTCAATTTGGGGAGTAGGAAGGAAAGGGTCCAGAAAATTAGGCTTAAGAAGTTCTCTAAAAACATAGTAGGTAAAATGAGGACACACTTAGTTGCAGTAACAGCATGGAGAAATAAATCATCCACTTGCTTTCTGAGTTCAGTGGTATATAATCAGAGAATCAGATTTGGTTTTTGAAGCCAATTCTCTTACTCTCCTGATGGGAATGTGAGGGAGTTTGGCTACTAGGATTGGACTTCCCTAGAAAGGAATGTGTAACACTTTTCCAGAAAGTGACAAGGATATAGCAATAACCAAGTATGTAAGAATATTCAGCCAACTGGCTTTGTCTATTGGGAATTTTCTGAGACTACTTTTTAGATATTGTCCCATTTGGTCCACTATTCATTCTAAATGTTCACACAAAGCCAAAAGCTGTATAAACACTGGTGGAGGCCTTGCGGACAGCTGTGAGGGAGTGCTGAATAACCAAGGAAAAAGTATTTTAGCATCTAAATTCTGAATCTGTCAGTTGAGGTAATAAAGAAATTGGCAGATGATATGAACAAATGGTTGAGAGCATATTCTACTTTCCACAATATAGTGTGTATAACATCTGTACCTACCATCCCTCAGCCCTGCTCTCCATATGCACATCTTAAACATGGACATACAGTATCTGTGCCGACTCTCAACCCCCAGCTGTGAGTGCTTGTGTGTGTATGTTGGGGGGGGGTGTGGATGTGTGTTTATAAATGATTTGGGAGGGTGAGTACCCCTTTATTAGTTTTTCACTATAACAAAATTTTTTCTTTTATGTTAGTAAGAGTTTTAACAACAAAACACAACAACTGGCACTTAGGTTTACAGGTATAATCTTTAAGAGATATGCTTGCTTTATATCCAATACAACTACCCACACATTTTGTCAGAGAGTAAATAAAAGTAATACTGCAGAGAGCATCTAGATATAAGGTTGCTTCACTCCCTAGGGTCTTTCTGAAGAACAGTTAAGGGTCTGTCTGAAATTATATTACGTACCATGTCTGGCAAGGTTTATCACCTATATGAGATTTGCTTCTGAGTTAAACCTTGGGATATAAGGTTTCTGGGAAAATGAAGAAGAAAGTCTGAACAGAGAGGAAAAAAAAAAAAAAAAACCAACCCAGCTGCCACTGTCGTCATACAATAATAATCCACAATTATTTTCGCATTGCTTCCAACTCTGATAGCCTCAGATTTCTAAAGAATCATTCTGAAGGTCATTAAACAAAAATATGGTCCCTCTGGGCATTTTGAGAGGAAAGGAATAAGAAAACTGAGCTGCTGCACTTTCGCACTGCATTGGTCAGGTCAGGCAAATAAGCCCACACACTCATTTTATTCAAAGACAAACGCTGTTGCATTTCAATGTCAATTTGGGGGAAAATCCATATGCAATTAGTTCTAATAATTTTCATTTTCCCTGGTTACTGCCATTTTTTCTCCAGGAAGTAAAAAGCTACAGTGTATAAGAAATAGAAAATCAGTCCTGATGAAGAAAATCCTGGAATCTTTACATGTCCTTTGAGATAGATTTAGATAGTCCAGAGTGCTTTCCAGGTTGCCATATAAAGCCTTAGAGGGGATTCTTGGTATCCAATAGATGGCTTTTTTGGAAAACTGTGGCATAGAAAACTATTGTCTTCAAGTCATATACACCCCTCTGGAGACAACATAGTTTAGATGAAAAGGCAAACTGCCTTTAGGCCAAAACATCTCTAGGTTAAAATCTGGGGTTCACCCAAGTTCTGTGATCTTGTGATCTTAGGCAAATTTGTATATGGGGATAATATTTGCTACCACATGAGCAGCTAGAACCCAGAGGCTTGTAGGTTTATTCATTACATGCTTATTGGGCAGCACTGTACATAGAATGTTCCCCATTGCTAAACCTTCCCAATTCTAGATTACATCTCTTTAGAAGCCCAAGCTCTGATTAGTGAAAATTTGTGCTGATGAACTAATAGATACAAATAAATCTTCACTAATTGGCTAACTATCCCCCCAGCAAATTAATACGTTAACTCACTGAAAATGTATAGCTCCTAAGAGGCCAAAAACTAATCTCTGCAGGTAGGTACAGAAGCTATATTTTGCTCAGAAGAGCCTTTAAAGTATATTTCCCATCATACTATATAGATGACCATCCTGCTCCCACAAATCAAACTTTCTCGAAGTTATTTTGTTGACTATTCTACTTTGGTCCAGGTGCCTGTATAGACTCTCAGAAATCTTCCAGACTCTTGACTCCATTATTTGCAGTGTATCTTCCCTAAGCTTCCGGCTGCTAGACTTACTGCTGCCTCTCTACTGCCCCCTATCTTCCTGGTGGACAGACAACATTGCCATACCTCACTGCCCTAGACCAGTTTACTTCTGAAACCCTGTTAGGCAAAGAGGTTTGAAGGACATAGGTCAAGTCTCAAGATGGTTGTTTATCTGAGGCCAGGACATACTACCAAAGGCTCAAATGTGAGCCAGCCCCTAATATTGACTTCACTGCATAATTTGCCTACTATTTATTGTCCCTACGAATATTAAACTTCATCAACCTGAAAATTTCGCTGAGAAATTTCTTGCTGGTGTTGCCTCAGTTCAACAAACAACTCATTTTGAGACCTAGTCATCCTCTCATGGAGCAGTCTGTTGTAGGACATCCTTGCTCAGTCAACATAATGTCTGCAATTAATGCCCAGCTTCTTTCCCCTCCCGCTTAGCCTTCCTGGGTGACAGATTTCCCTTTACAGCAGTTGCTGTGTTGGGAGCCCAGTAAGGACAACAGAGGCATCTGTTTACCAAGACCCCTAAAGTAAAAATCTTAGAGTTACTGGAGTTTCTACCCTAAAACAGTCACCACTGTACTCACAGTCTACTTCTGAGATAGCGTCATCATACCCACAGGTACATTTTAATCCATTTGATGTGATGGTCATGGTTACGTTCATGCCATTCAGAGCATATGACTCATTTCTCATGGCAAGAACATCAGGCAAATTCAAATATTTCTTCTGATTCTGAGGTTTAACCACAAAGGAGCTATGCAACCATAAGCCAATCATGTACCATCTCCTCAAACAACCATTGTTTGAACACCCAACACCTGCCTCCTCAAACCAACTTCTCCCCTTTCCCATGGATATTGTACTCTTCCATAGGAAATCCAGACATCTAATTAAAAATCTTTAGGGAATCCGAACTTTCTGCAATTTAAAGATGTACGAGATGATTAGTAGCACAACTGTGATTAGGTATTAGCATTATCATTTTCAGTCCTACCTATATTCCAAATGCCTAGGATAACCCACTCCAAGGAGTCCTTCCCCTCTAAGCCCTATTTCTCCAAATTTCTGCCTTCATGGTATTAATATTGATACTGGTAGCCCACATAATGGGAATACCAGAAGGAAAAGAAAAATAGAAAGGAAAGGAAGAAATATTTGAATTTTAATGTCAAGTCATCCATGTATTATAGCAGAATAAGCACGAACAAGGGGATGGTCAGTAGTAGGTTATTATGAGCATCTGAACTGAGTTTTGAACAATATATAAAAGTTAGGCAGGACATAGCAGACAGAAGGAAGAACAGATGTGAAAAAGCATGGAGTGGATAAAAAAATTACAAACAAGCTTTGCTCTGTTAAGAGTGGCTGGGTCCAGATGTAAAAAGCCTTAAATTCTATCCAAAGATATCTGTCTTTGTGTAGCCTATCTCAAACAGTTGTTCTAAAGATTGAGTCAGGTAATACATGAACATACTTGACATGATGTCAGACCCTGTAAATGGTATATGAGTTAAACACGGTATATGAGTTAGAGATCTATTTTTTCTAAGCAGATATTCAATTATGTCCACATGATTTTTCAATAAGCCATTATTCCCCCTTGTCATCCATTTAAATGAAATGTTAACTTTATCACATATTAAATTCTCATATATGTGTATTTTTATCTATTTCTGGATTCTCCATTCTATTCCACAGGTCAATTATCTTTTCCTAAACTTACTATTTTAATTGATGCTGTTTTGCAGTAACTGGTAGTATAAGCCCACTCTCATGAATGTTTTTTTTTTTTTTTTTTTTGAGACAGAGTCTCGCTTTGTTGCCCAGGCTAGAGTGAGTGCCGTGGCGTCAGCCTAGCTCACAGCAACCTCAAACTCCTGGGCTCGAGTGATCCTTCTGCCTCAGCCTCCCGAGTAGCTGGGACTACAGGCATGCGCCACCATGCCCGGCTAATTTTTTTTATATATATATATCAGTTGGCCAATTAATTTCTTTCTATTTATAGTAGAGACGGGGTCTCGCTCTTGCTCAGGCTGGTTTTGAACTCCTGACCTTGAGCAATCCGCCCGCCTCGGCCTCCCAAGAGCTAGGATTACAGGCGTGAGCCACAGCGCCCGGCCTCTCATGAATGTTTTCATCCT